TGTCGAGTAAAACCATTTTTTGGGCACATTTTTCGACCGCTTCCTCCTCTGCATCGCATTCCGGGTTATTCTCGATGTGATTGGAGGCCAGCGCTCAACATATCATACAATTTATACATAGTTTACATTTCAATTAAATTAGTTTCAAGTTTTACTAATTAACTTATTGTTAATTTGAACGCTTATATTAAAATGTTAAAGTTAAGATTTATTTTAAAAAGTGAAAACTATTGTTAGAATAAACAATTTATAACAATTAAATTGTTTAAATAAATATATTTAAAAAAGTGTGATTTTTACCAAATCCGCTGATCAAACAGATCAGAGCACTTAATTTAATAAACATTGTCTTAAATAAAATATAACTATAAAAATTTTTTAACTATAATAAAAATAACTTAAAATACAAATCATACAAAGCTATAAGTTATATGACTTTTGGCTATAACTGCAAAAGTAATGCCAAAAATAATTGTTTAGTGTTAGGGAAGGCGGAGCTCAACGATTATATCATTGATTTAATGTGTATTTCTATTTAAAGCGATTCCGCAACGAATACTACGGACAGAAAGACTTATGAAAAATAAAAATATTATTTTTTAAAAACAAATTGTAAATTCAAGAAACACTTTCACTTTTGCTTACATTACTTACGATTACTTTTTTCATTTACAAAACTTTTAATGATTGCCAACAGAAAAAACAAAGACATGAATCGATTATAATATGTATTACTGTTCAGTAAATCATTTTCTTACACTCAATACTAGGAAAAAACGTTTAGTATTTTTAAGTATTAATAAATTTTTTCTATCCTTTTTGATGATTATCTGATGATTTAATACGACATTGAAAGCCATCACTTATCTCAAGGATAGTTGCATTCAATCAACTCTATCTATATCTCTCTCTCTCTCTCTTCCACTCATTTATTTATATCATGTGTTCATTTAATATGCACTTCAAGTCTGTGAAACAAAAGTTGGATATTTATTTATAAATTACATTTAATTTCATAAATATTTAATAAATTATTTATAAATAATTATATGCTTGTTATTATTAATGGCAAATGTTGGCACAAAATTCCCCGCTTTTATTTGTTAAAATACAAATAAATCTCTCTATGAATTTAATTATTCAGTTAAATATTAATTGTTTTATTAAATAAAGATTTTTAATGGTATGTGAAAAATACGCTTTGAATAAAATTAATACATTTTTAGCGTACTTTCATCACTACATAGGAATCGTCTAAATCACTGGTATTAGCATTTGGCTGATGTCTGTCGTAATCAATACAATCGTCGTAAACATTTCTATCGTTATAATTGACTTTATAGGGACCGCTACTCATATCGGTATAGACGGGCGCCGCCACCGCCGCCGCCCTTTGCATATGCCTATTGTCCGCATATCTGTCTTCAGTGGTCTCGTCGACCGTTTCGTACATTTCGTCCATATTTTTGCCGTAAAGACCGACGCCATGGATGTCGTAGTCGTCGTAAACGTTTGATTCTCTCATACCGTTTGCACTCAATTTGTTTCTTTGCATTCTCTTCATCCTTAGGACACAGAATACCAGAATTGCTGACAAACCGAACGTCAATATCAATGTCAACATAATTATGACCGAAATCGTCGTTATATTCAGTTTGGATTCTGGATTACACCCCAAATAACAGTCAATCAATTGTTATCTCATTTAAAAACGTTTAAAATTAATATTTTTATGAATACCTTTGTCAGTGTCGAGACAATTGGGATGAGTATCACTCCATTCGCCATCTTTACCACAAATACGATACTCTTTGCCCACAAATATTAGTGTCTCGTCTTTGCACCGGAAGTGGGCTTTCGTGCCATCGATGGCAAACCAATCGCTTGTGTTAGTGTAATACACTTTTTCGTAGTGATAGACTTCTGTCAAGTGTTTTTCGTTTAAACTAAACTTTTTGCACGTCTTTTGGGGCCGACATTGGGGTAGAGTTCCCCTCCATTTCATATCTGTATCGCAATAC